GTTTAACCACTCCAAAATTTTTTCTTTTTTTCATTAAAATTTCTTGACAGTCCCTTCCCCCACTCTTCATTGCTTCCTTTTGCACTCTCCACCCTCCTTCACCTTTTTTTACTCTCCATTACTCGCTCTTTTATAGCACTTCTGCTTTGTAAAAAACCCTCTGTAAGCTCCCTTTTTTTTCTCTTTATCACACCCTTACTTCATCACCCCACCAATCACCCCTTTTTCCCCCCTGCCCCCACCCTCCTAAACCACAAACTTCGCCCCACTTCTAATACTGATTTTTAAAACTACCAACCCTCTTCAACCCCCCATATCATCTTTGCACAGCCCACTTTTGAATAAACGCTTATATTTCGCCCTAACTTCCTCCTCCCCTTGTTTATCACTTTTACCCTCCCTTTACTTGTTGTTGCCACCTCCTTTTTCCCATCTACCTTTACTCTACTGTAGCACAACTAAAAATGAACCGATTATCGTGCCCCTCTAAAAAACATGAAACCGGACCCCACCCCTAACCTTTTATCCCCAATAATAACAAAAAATTTCTTTTTTACGTTACATCATACCTTGATATTTTTTTATCCTCTTTTTTTATAAAAAGTATTATTATTACCAAAATTTTTTTTCACATAGCTCAATTAAGGCTCCCCCCTTTTAATTTCCCGGCACCCCAAAATTTTCCAACTCCCTCCCAAAAATTTTTACCCCCTTTGCATTGAAAAACCCAACCACCAAATTTCCTCCACTTGTTCAAAACTCCCCCCTTTTACTCAAAATTTCCCCAAATCTCTCCTCTCCTCTACCTTTCCTTCTCCAGGTGCATACACGCTTTCATAACCCACTTTTTACATCCCTTTATTTTTTCTCCCATAAACCTTGAATTTATACTTTGTAGTCCCTCTTTTCCTGCCCTAGTTATCCCTTAACATTTTGCTACTCCTTCTTTAGCTCTAACTCTATTTGAAACCCCCGACCCCAATCCATTTATTCCCCTCCATTGAAACTCTCCCCCCCCCTTCGCTTTTTTTTCACTAAAAACCGGACATCCATTTCTTTCATTTATAACATCCACAAAAACTCTTTCTTATCATTTGCACAAAATCCACGCACATTCAGACTTCCCACTTTGACAATTTTCTTCTTCTTATTCTTTTTAGTAATCTTTACAGGAAAAGGGGTTACTAGCCCATTGTTCCCGGCATTTTAGTTGACTTTTACAACACGCATGGCTTACGGAGGAAAGATTCTTATTCCACTTCCCATGGATATAAAAGGAAAAGTAATAAGACCAAGAACTATTAAGATAAAATCAAAGAAAACTCAGATGAGTGTGTATAAATAAACGTGTCCATGTATGTGTAGTGTGACCTAAGTGTAAGTAGAAGTAGCAAGACGTACCTGTAATCTTGCATATTTATGAGACAGACAAAAGACACCAGCAATCCTACCATCATGTAAAACAATTACAGGCTTACGTTTTACACTCACTTGGCAGGACGGTAGTACCTCCCTGGGTGGTTGCTGTCTACCAACCTACTACATATATTGCTACATTAATTATTATTGCTACATTAATTTCGTTTAGGTTACAATATCAATGCTTGTGGGATTTTTCTTGTGCTATAATATTCATCCTTTTGGCTGTTGTTCTTGTGGGCACTTCTGGTATCTGGGAACGTATTCGCTTGGAAACCCTCCTCTTTTCTGCAATTTTGCAAGCTCCTGATGATGTATTGATTGCAACACAAAAGGCATAGAGCTATCATTCTACTCCCCCTGTGGTTGTTTTGCATTACTGGTTATATTTTATTATCTGAGAAATGGGGAAATCTTGGGTTTTTGTGAGATGAATTCAAAATGGAGAGCAAATATATTATAGGAAAGGCCTGAGGATGTGATTATTGAGAAGAGTAAATGTTACTTTAATGCCTGGAATGTCTACAGTGTTTATTTTAGGCTCTTTACAAATTGGAATTTTTTTAATTTGGTATTAAATTGGCTAAATTACAGACTTCTGTACACTTTATAGGGTAGGTCTAATAGTTGAATGGGGGTTTCTTGTGCTTAATCAATAGAATACTGTAGAAGGAATACTAGTGAAATAGCTAAGAATTTGGTTAAATTGATAATGGAATTGGCTTTAAATAGGACTCAGTGCTGGTAAAATTGCCAGTTCATAACTTGCACCCAGACTTCTAACTTTGTGCCTGCTTAATTCCATAAATTTGTCATCAATTTTTAATATTTTTAGTAATATTACCTTTAGAAGAAGATTCTCTACCATTCCAGAAGATTTTCGTTTTTTTTAAATGCCAATACTGTGAGCATTTTTAATTTTTTGGGTCCAGGCAGTGAATGGGTTAAGATTTATGATGGGAAGTACAGTGCCTGCACTCTGAAGGAAGGGTGGGAATGTAACAGACTGGAGGGGCATCTGAGCTGTAATGTCAACACCCCTCTGGCAAGGCAGTGATAGTGAGTGATGGTGAAATTGTTTCTTCTTTTTCAGGCCATCGTACCTTGGTGGGAGACGGTTGGTGTGTTAAATAATAATAATACTGTAATAATAATATTAATAATAATAATAATAATAATAATATTATACATTTGATTTCTCAGTAGAACATATTCACACAGATAAACATATACAGTAGACCCTTAGCTAACGAACGCATCGCATAATGTTAAATCCGCCCAGTGAAGCATTTGAGCGTAAAAATTTTGACCTGGCTAATGATAAAAAACTTGCCCAACGTGATTCGTCCCGAACCTGTCCGTCCAGTCTGAGCGCCTCAGCTGCCCTGCCGTCATTGTTTACAAGCCAGGGTGGCCGGTTTCATGCATACATTCGATACTTTTTGTATTATTCCATTGTTTACAGTGCTTGTAACTACTAAATAAGCTACCTTGGGGGCCCAAAGAAAGCTTCTAGTGCCAACCCTGTGGTAAAAAGGGTGAGAAATACTATCAAAATACTATCGTACCACAGTCAGCTGCTGCTACACCACCGTAGGCTGTTGCTGCACCACTGTCAGCTGTACTACTCGAAGATGTGGAGAGACTATTGTTGGTGTGGCTTAACGAGAAACAGTTACCAAGAAACAATTAACCCCAGAGGATTAGCCACCCAGGATAACCCAAAAAAACAGCAAGTCATCGAGGACTGTCTAACTTATTTCCATTGGGGTCCTTAACCCTTTCAGGGTCCGTCCCGTAGATCTACGGCTTTACGGTGAGTGTCCAAACCGTAGATCTATGCCATGAGCTCAGCTCACTCTGATAAACTGTGAGTGGTACATTTGGGCCTAGATATGAGAGAATACATCTATGTGGTATGTGTGCACCACATAAAACAGATCCTGCAGCACACTGTGTATAATGAGAGAAAAAAACTGAAATCATGATTTTTCGATTAAAACAGCGACTTTGCAGTGTTTTTTCGTATGTTTTTTATAGTTGTATTTGCAATTTCTTGATCTCATTTGATAGAATGGAAGACATATTACAGAAATAGAGATGATTTTGATTGGTTTTAGCACTGGAAATGGCTTGAAACTGAGCTCAAAGTAGCGGAAATGTTAAATTTTTGCCGATATTCAAGAGTAAACAAACGACCTCACACATCTAATACACGTCAGCTGGTGGGTCTAATATACATTCACATATATGGTGATGATATTTATACAATTATTACAGTATTGCATAACAGTAAATCTTCTATTTTTTGGTGTGAATAAAAATTCATTATGTGAATAAAAAATCAAAATGGAATTTATTTGTAAAGCCTCAAAATGTAACTAATGAACAGAGGAAATGTTAGTTTAGTTCCAGGAATACCTACATTGTTTATTCTGGAGCCTATTTTGAAATTGGAATATTTTGAACTTTGTGTTAAATTGGCCAAATTAACAATTTCCAATCACTTTATTTTGTAGTTGAAACAGTTGACTTGGCGATTTCTTGTGCTCAATCGATAGAATAGAAGTAATACTAGTGAAATAGCTAAGAATTTGGTTGATTGGAATAATGTAATTGGCCTAAAATGGGAGTCAAAGTCGGCAAAATCGCCGATTCGTAAATATCGCTGACACATCAAAATTCACGAGAGCATAATTTCGTAAATTTTCCACCAAATTTCGTACTTTTTGTTTTATTACCTTCACAAAAAGATTCTCTACGATTTCATAAGAAAAAATAACAAATTTTTTTTTTTGAAAATGCTTGGACACTGGTGCGTGACTTCAGATTTTGGCCTTGGACCCTGAAAGGGTTAATCTTGTCCCCCAGGATGCGACCCACACCAGTTGACTAACACCCAGGTGAACAGGAAAAAATGCATGGAACTAGTGCTCATATTGGTGAATTTAAGGCCAGCAAAGGTTGATTTGAGAGATTTAAGAATTGTAGTGGCATACACAGTGTGATAAGGCATGGCAAAGCTGAAAAATTCCAACCCCAACAAGTGTTCAATTGTGACGAAACAGACCTGTTCTGGAAGAAAATACCAAACAAGACCTACATTACTCAGGAGGAAAAGGCACTCCCAGGACACAAGCCTATGAAAGACAGGCTAACTTTCTTGTTTTGTTGTAATGCTAGTGGGGATTGTAAAGTGAAGCCTTTACTCATGTATCACTGAAAATCCCAGAGTGTTCAAGAAAAACAGTGTCTCATCACTCATCAGTACTCTTCAATAAAGGTAAGTGTCATTTTAACATTTATTTATGTAGTTATTGTGCATGTCTCATTGTTTTCTTTGTAGGGAAATGTATATTTCATGTAAAAAAAATTATTTTTTTAATACATGTACTTTTGGCTGTCTGGAATGGATTAATTAGATTTCCATTATTTCTTACGGGGAAAATGAATTTGGCTAACAATAATTTCGTCTAACAATGAGCTCTCAGAAACGGATTAATATCATTAGCTGAGGGTCCACTGTACTAAAAACAATACAATATTGGATTCTTTAATAATGTTCAATGTACATATAACAGATTCGGCAGACATATGAAACCACAATGTCAGAGTGGTTGGCTGTGGAAGCTATTGTACGACAACGTGACAAAGAGATAATGGCTCAGAATATGGCTAAGCTCTCTTCAGAGTCACAGAATGGAGAAATACCACTGGTTGGGAGAGACAGATCTCTCAGTAATGAGGTAAGTTTTTACTCTCTTGTGTATTTGGATAATTTCCAGCTTAATTTTGTGTAATAAAACTACTACTGAACTGAACTTTATATATTTCCCTTGATTTTTAATTCCTTTCACTATATTTTAGGTTGTTTGACATAAGTTTTTATAACTGTTTTACCTGTTACACATTCTTCTGCATCAGAAACTGTCCTTTAAAGCACTTGGCATGTATATTGACCAAAATAATGATAACCTACTTTTGTTTATAAAAGGAGTCTCCAGACATGCTAGGATAAATGAATGCTAGTTAAAACATAATTCACCTATGTGTAACACTTTTGTTTTTATTATCCATTCATGTTACAATGACCCTTTGTCAACTTTTATTCAGATGTGTACAGATACAGTAAGATATTCATTGTAATTACAGTAATACCTTGCATAGTATGGTTTTAAACAGTACAGGTTTTGATATAATATGTTTATAAATATTGTAAATTTAATAGTATACATGTATAAATTTTACTTAACTGCATTATGCACCAATATTAGACTGCTGCTATGTACTGGACTAGCGTGATGCAAACATCAATACTACTCCTGACTCCAAAACTAAGTTGTGTAGTCTTATACAGTACATAAGTACACACAGTTTTTCTTTATTATATAAAGTATTGGTAACCCCTTTTATTCACAAATCTGAGCGGAAAGAGAAGATGCAACGACACTGAGGATTCTAGTAAATGTAAATGATCAACGTTAGATGGAAAACTAGAGAGTTATAAAACATGAAGATCATGAATTGTATGCTGAAATAGCACACGACAAGAAACTGAACAAAGCATTGGTATGTGATCATATAACGAATAAAGATAAAATAAAAAGACAATGTGGCAGATGTTGCAGGTGTATGGTATAGGAGATAGGTTACTGAAAGCAATGAAGAGTTTTTACGAGGATAGTGAGGCTCAGGTTAGAGTACGTAGGAAAGAGGGAGAATATTTCCCAGTAAAAGTTGCCCTTAGACAAGGATGTGTGATGTCACTGTGGTTGTTCAATATATTTATAGATGGGGTTGTAAGAGAAGTGAATGTGAGGATAAAGAATCAAACACAAAGTGGGAGTTGTCACAGTTGCTTTTTGCTGATGATAATGTGCTCTTGGGAGATTGTGAAGAGAAGTTGCAGAGATTGGTGGATGAATTTGGTAGGGTGTGTAAAATAAGAAAATTAAAAGTGAATATAGGAAAGAGTAAGGTTATGAGGATAACAAAAAGATTAGGTGATGAAAGATTGGATATCAGATTGGAAGGAGAGAGTATGGAGGAGTTTACCTGGAGAGTGTTCTGGGGGTCAATGCCCCCGCGGCCCGGTCTGTGACCAGGCCTCCTGGTGGATCAGAGCCTGATCAACCAGGCTGTTACTGCTAGCTGCCTGCAATCCAACGTATGAGCCACAGCCCGGCTGGTCAGGTACCGACTTTAGGTGCTTGTCCAGTGCCAGTTTGAAGACTGCCAGGGGTCTATTGGTAATTCCCCTTATGTATGTTGGGAGGCAGTTGAACAGTCTCGGGCCCCTGACACTTATTGTATTGTCTCTTAACGTGCTAGTGACACCCCTGCTTTTCATTGGGGGGATGTTGCATCGTCTGCCAAATCTTTTGCTTTCGTTGCGAGTGATTTTCGTGTGCAAGTTCGGTACTAGTCCCTCTAGGATTTTCCAGGTGTATATAATCATGTATCTCTCCCGCCTGCGTTCCAGGGAATACAGGTTCAGGAACTTGAAGCGCTCCCAGTAATTTAGGTGTTTTATCTCCATTATGCGTGCTGTGAAGGTTCTCTGTACATTTTCTAGGTCAGCAATTTCACCTGCCTTGAAAGGTGCTGTTAGTGTGTAGCAGTATTTCAGCCTCGATAGAACAAGCAACCTGAAGAGTGTCATCATGGGCTTGGCATCCCTAGTTTTGAAGATTCTCATTATCCATCCTGTCATTTTTCAAGCAGCTGCGATTGATATAATATTATGGTCCTTGAAGGTGAGATCCTCCGACATGATCACTCCCAGGTCTTTGACATTGGTTTTTCGCTCTATTTTGTGGCTGAAATTTGTTTTGTGCTCTGATGAAGTTTTGATTTCCTCGTGTTTATCATATCAGAGTAATTGAAATTTCTCATCGTTGAACTTCATATTGTTTTCTGCAGCCCATTGAAAGATTTGGTTGATGTCCGCCTGGAGCCTTGCAGTGTCTGCAATGGAAGACACTGTCATGCAGATTCGGGTGTCATCTGCAAAGGAAGACACGGTGCTGTGGCTGACATCCTTGTCTATGTCAGATATGAGGATGAGAAACAAGATGGGAGCGAGTACTGTGCCTTGTGGAACAGAGCTTTTCACTGTAGCCGCCTCGGACTTTACTCTGTTGACTACTACTCTTTGTGTTCTGTTTGTGAGGAAATTATAGATCCATCTACCAACTTTTCCTGTTATTCCTTTAGCACACATTTTGTGTGCTATTATGCCATGGTCACACTTGTCGAAGGCTTTTGCAAAGTCTGTATATATTACATCTGCATTCTTTTTGTCTTCTAGTGCATCTTGGACCTTGTCGTAGTGATCCAATGGTTGAGACAGACAGGAGCGACCTGCTCTAAACCCATGTTGCCCTGGGTTGTGTAATTGATGGGTTTCTAGGAGGTGAATGTATTCAGATATTTGGGAGTGGATGTGTCAGCAGATGGATTTATTTATTTATTTATTTGTTTATTAATTTGAACATGATACAGGGAAGTACAAAGGAATACAGTTATTAAAGTGCAACATGCCAAAGCCCCTTGTATGCAAAGCATTATGGGCAGGCTTAAAATTAACTTAAGATTAACTAAGCAATGATATATTCAGTGGTAAAAACATTATTGTAAACAGATAACAATTTAGCACAAATGAGTATTACAAAGACAGGTCATATGGTCATTTACTGTGTTGCTGTGCATTCAATAGAATGGAGTATTCTGTTAGGTAATGTAATGAAAAAAATAACAAAGTTTGATTGAGTCACAGGTTAGACATTTATGAGATACAATTTATTTATTTATTTATTTAGAAATTTTAGCATACATACAGAGGTACAAAAAAATACAGGTAAGAGCAGCATGCCAAAGCCACTTATATGCATAGCATTACGGGCTGGTTTAAAATTAACTTAAGATTAACTAAGCAATGATGAAATCAGTGATAAGACATTATTGTAAACAGATAACTTTAAAGCACAAATGAGTATTACAAAGACAGGTCATATGGTTGCTTGCATTGCTGTTCATTCAGTAGAATGGAGTATTCTGTTAGGTAGTGTATTTAAAAAAATAACAAAGTTAGATTGGGTCCTAGGTTTAACATTTATGTGATATAATTGTGAGTAACATTTTGGATATACAATTTATAAGGTTCAGTTATTCAGTATTTATTTGGTTTTGAGTGAGTAAGTGAACTTTGAGAAGAGACTTGAATTTGTAAACAGGTAGTGTTTCTTTTATATTTACAGGTAATGAATTCCAGATTTTAGGGCCTTTTATGTGCATTGAGTTTTTGCATAGCGTGAGATGGACACGAGGAACATCAAGAGTGATCTGTGCCTTGTGTTATGGTCATGTGTTCTGTTGAGGTTGGCAAGGAGATGTTTGAGGGGAGGGTTAATATCAGAGTTAAGTGTTCTATGTACGTAATAGGTGCAATAATAAGTATGGATGTTTTGTATGGTGAGTAGGTTGAGTGTTTTGAATATTGGTGGAGTGTGTTGCCTGTAGTGAGAATTTGTTATCATTCTAACTGCAGCCTTTTGTTGGGTAATTAGTGGTCTGAGATGGTTAATTATTGTTGAGCCCCATGCACAAATTCCATAGGTGAGATAGGGGTAAATAAGAGAGTGATAAAGGGCCAGGAGGGCTGACTGTGGAACATAGTACCGTATCTTCGATAGTATGCCTACTACTCAGACCAACTAGAATGTATCACTAATACTTGCACAAGGGATGAACATGGGGAATATATAATAGCCAAATTCAAATCCAAATACCTACAAAAACCTCTCACATTGATAAACATCTACAGAGTTCCACAGTCAAACATTAGCCAATTTAGTCAAAACCTAGGAAGTATGATAACTGATGCACGCTTGAACAAAGATCACTTACTACTCTCAGGTGACTTCAATATAAATCTCCTGCAAGACCAGGACCCACACGTTACTGAATTCACAAACACAATGAGTAACTGTATTTGCTACCAACAGTAACAAAACCTACAAGAGTTACAGAGACTAGTGTTTCCCTACTTGACCACATCTGGACCAACACCATATCCCCTTTAAAATCAGGCATAATTACAAATAATACCACAGACCACTACCCTACTTTTCTCATAACAACTCTTGGTAAATTACCCCAAGGACACTACAAAGTCACCTTCAGACTTCACAATGAGGCAGCCATTAATAACTTCACAACAGCAGTAGCAAAACATTGACTGGCACACTGAGCTAGAAATCTATACAGATATTGACGAATGTATTAATAATTTTCAAAAAAAAGGACCCAATACCTCTATAACAAGCATGCCCTAAAAAAAACTAACAGATGACAGCTAAGAGACTGAACAGTCCTGGTTAACACCCAGCATTCCAAATCCATAAAAACAAAACACCAATTGAAAAACAGTACAGAATGGGTCACATAACCAGAGACCAAAAAAAAACGTTCTCGTCAATCCTAACCAGCCTGATAAAAAAGGGCAAAAAAAATTTTATTATGAGAACAGATTATCCAACTTACGAGGTGATATAAAAAAGACCTGGAAAACCCTATCAGAAATTCTAGGAACAAAAAAGTTATCACGAAATAGCAAAATAAAATTAGGGAAAATCAAATGAACCCAACTCCCACCAACAGAAACAGCAAATGACCAATGGCTTCTTCTCCACTATAGGACAAAACCTTGCCCAAAAAAATCCCAAGTCAGATACCCCCACAAATG